AAAAAAAAAAAAAAAAACTTATATTTCTTAGCTGAGTGAATATTTTGTTGTATATATTTGTTAAGACTTCAATATTACAAAATGTCCAATTTTGTTATCCTGTGATCAAATTGGGAGAAATGTTAAGGTTCCGTTACGGAACCATTCCGTTGGAGTTTGTAACCATTAGATCATCATGTAAAGTTCATAGATAGTTGATCTGACGATTACAAACTGCGACGAAATAGTTGCGTAACGTACCGTAACATCTTCCTAAAATTGGTGTAATGAGATTACATACATCCTTAAAAAGTATCATGAAAAAGGACCTCTAATTTTAATGTTTTTGTGGTCCATATATATATATAATTATATTCCACAGTTTTGTCCAGCTGAAAACAACTCTAACGGCGTTTATTGCATTTCTCCCAAAGTACACTAATTGGTACTTAATGCAATATATTAATTGCATTCATGACATGGTTTTAATGTCAACAAAAATAGCAAATTTTTAATTAATAGGACATGCATGAAACCAATACAATTCAAGAATAATACTAACCATAGAAATGACAAATTCATGCTCAGATATTATTAAGCTTTATGTTGGTTCGAACTAATATGTGCCCAAATATAAATAAGATATTATAAGTTATATTATAAATATAATAAAGTTATAAATTAGATAATGGACATATCACATTTTCAAAATTAATCCTTATTAATAAGTAAAACATAATAAATATAAATTATTTAAGTATATATGTATCTCTCTATTGATTGATTTTTTTTTGTAAGAAAATGTGATTTTTAATTGTGAGGGATCATAGCAAATTAATAGTTGAAATTTTATTATTATTATTATTATAGCAATAATTATTTATAAGATTTTAAGATAGTTTGACCATGTTATGAAACTATTATCTAATTATTATTACTTTTTTTTTTTTGAAGAAAATCGTTTCCTGAGATACAAAATAATAAGAGATAATATTGATTTTAGATAAAGACCGTGAACAAAAATATTTGAAATGTAACTTTTTTATACTTAAGTAATTTCAATAAAACATTTAGTGTAAATTATATTTATTTGGTATTAGTATTAACTATTATATAATATAATAATAAAAAATATATTATTACACTTGATTAACATAATTATAATAGTTTTATACCATAAGGTTTGATATCATAAGTATCTAAACAAATGGGCGAGAAATGTTACTAAATGAATATAAATAAAACAAAAGGAAAATAATTGGATTAATGATAAAAATTTATAACGTTTTTTAGCGGAAAACTAAAAATATTTTTATTAATTTCTCTACCAGCAATTATATATATATATTATTTATTACTGTTGATTGCCATAATTTGTTTCAGTTGTTTAATATCTCCTTTCATATTAATTTATTTATTGTTACTATAACAACGCCCGTGTATTACACGAGTGCTTGTTAAATTTTTTTCTTAAAATTTAAAATTAATAAGAAAAGTAGTTTGAAATTTAAATACTTTTTATAAAAAATATATGTTCTTATATATTTTATTATGACACGTGTTACTTATGCGACTTATATGTGTTATATTATAATAATTTTTCTAACTTATAATATATAAATTTGTATAACTAATTTTAATAAATATTTTTTTTATTATTATAAAGATAAATATAATTTATTTATTTTATATAAAATGGATGTCAAATCGAAACTCATAAAAAATGCATTACTAGGGAATGATATCAAAATACAATTAATACATCTAAAATGATCATAAATAAATCAACATATTTATGGTAATCCGAACCTAATTATTTTTGGATTAGAATTAAATTAAAATATATCCAAGCCAAATAATAAACCATGAAATTTTGACGCATATGATCTCGAAGCATGCGAGTCTGCCACTTAAGCTCACCACATTCAGTAATTATATAGAAGGGAGGGAAATTTTTGTAATAACACACATATATACATATCTTAATATATATAGGTCTCAATCAATTATGTACTTAGCGTGAGCGTCTAAAGTTATGTACATTTAATTAGAACATTAAATATAGCTCCGGATGAATAAACTGGGTTAATTTCTTTAAAATTTAAATAATGATATTGAAGATTTGGTTAAACTTTTTAACTACATTCTAAATTTGGGAATACCGATCGAGTTTCGTGTTGATTAATACTCGTTTCGTATGATTGAAGATCGCAAACTCTCATGAATATGTAATGCATAAATCAAGGCTGAAAAATGTCATCTGTTTTGCAGAAAATAATATACTTAATAAAAAAGAACCAATTATTTACTAGTTACCTGGTGGATTAAATTGTTCTTCTTGAGAAAGTAAAGTAATATGCCTCCAAAAATAGGTGACTCCAACAACCATGCAACAACTCTCACCAGAAAGCCAGCCATCCGAGGAGCTAAAATACAAAACCAGATATTTTTTTTTTTATTAAAAAAAATGGAACAAATAAAGTTACAAATATTTATTAATAACTTGTTACTACAAAATATTATATTACTATCAAAATAATTAAAATGCATCAATGGAAAAAAAATAAAATAAAAGAAGAAAACGGCTGCGTGATATTCAGAACACAAGCAAAA